GTTAAGAAACTTTATAATTTTTATGAGATTTACTTCTCCAATACATTGGAGTAGTTTTTAGGGATTCCTTTATTTTTTAAAAAAGGGGAGAGGGGAAAAGAAATAATTTTTTATGTTGCAACCTGTATAAAAGGTTCATTGTATTTATTAGCATTCAGTATACATTTCTAGAGATAACTACACTATTTTACACATAAACATAAATATGGAACATAAATATTAAATAAGACCATAAAGCACCAGGAACATAAGTATTAAATAATACCATAAAAACCTGTGTAAGGTGATTAGACATGTAAAGAATGTAATGAATGCGAAAGAGAGCTTACCACAGACCCCCAGAAAGATTGCCAAATAGTGCTGAGGATCTAGGTAAGGGTTAAATTAGTGTTGAGGTACCAATGAATCCAGTGATATAATTTTCTCTCATTGTCCTTAGTGGCTCAGCTATAGGAACAGAAGAGGATTGATCCCTAACAGTTGTAGCAAGAAAAATGAGGGAAAATATGTAATACAGAGTCTAGGAAGTTGTTAAAATGAAATTTAAGCCAAGGTTGTGGGGAATGAGGAAGTCACATAACTTTGGAACCAAAGTGTTGGTTGAGTCATCTGTGTGGCTAATGAAGTCATTCAGGATGATAAACAGGGATGAAAAAGAAAAAGAAAAGAAAAACAAACCAAAGTCCCTAGCAGGCATGGAGGTTTAACCAGGGGGGATAAATAGATGACAAAGATTAAGAAAGATGAAGGGTGGTTTGGACTTTGAGGAAGGAAGAGTTTTTCCATTGGGATGAAAGAACAAACCCAAGAAAGAGTATGTTAAGCAAGTATGCAAGGGAAAGGGAATTTCTTCATAAGATTCCAGCCCAGAGTAAAATGGTTTGAATTCTTTCACTCCAGACCTTTAGAACTTCACAAGAGTGGCCTACCTTCCTAAGTACAAAAAAAGAAGGTGACCTAGGAAATTGAAAATCTGGACTTGGGTTTCATTGCATAAATGGTACTTAGGGTTTTTTAAGCTTTAGGAAAAGATCGCTAATGAATATACAGTGAAAGAGTTAGAAGGAGGTTGAAGAAAGCACTGGATAGCACCCATTTTAGGATGAAGGAGGAGGAAAAGTCATGCAGCAGAGAATGAGTAATCAGAGTGATTATAGTGCTCTAGCATTGAACTCATGTAGTTGCATTGGTTTGGGTTAGTGCTCGGCAACTACAAAATTCAGTTAAACAGAGATTTAACCAGAGTAATGTAATTCTGTAAGCATATATGATATTTAAAATATAAAGGAAGTTCTCTGTCAGAAATAATTGTTAAGTGACTGTTAGAACCAAGTGATACTATTTAAAAATAGGTCAGATATGTATAATAAAGCATTTGAAATATTTTTATATTAACACAGGAAGTTGATAAACCACCTTGTGAACCTAATGTACTAATTTTTGTTTTGTTTTGTTTTGTTTTTTAGTGGAAACAGATATTCATGCCTTTTTAAAAGGCAGGAAGTAGAATTATTTAAACCAAATCATAATTTTGTTTTCCTTATACTTTCAGAAACTCAGACAGGGTCAAGGAATCTTTGTCCTTATGATTCATTTGAAGATGAGTGGAATGTAATAGGTGTTCAAAAATATTAAGTTTTAAGTAAAATTAGAGCAGATTATATGAGACCTTTTTTCGCTTCACACTATAGTAATAATATATAATGTGGAAGGCTAAGGAAAAAAAAGCTACATTTTTCTAAACACATTCCTACAGTAAATGATGAACTATAAATTGAGCTAATATGAATGTTTTATGTCCTTTAGGTTGTTTTCAAACCTCTTCTGAGCCATACAGGGATCCAGTCACAGGATACAATGCCGCTTTGCTACCGAATGTACTTTGGAGAACACCTTTCATTTTCAGGGACTTTGGACTGCCTCAGAGCAGATATTGTAGATTCAGATACAGCCAAAGAGAGAAGGAGCAAAAGAGCAAGAAGGTATCTTTTATGTTTTTGTGTAAAATTTTGTGCAAGAATTATAATACATGTTAACTTTATTTTCTTCTAATCCCAATGAGAAAGTAATTTTAATATCTTAATGAGAAAACAATTTCTCATTAATAAAAGTAGTAACCACATTTTCTTATTAATAACCAGTTGATAAAATCATATCAACAGATTGAGGCTTATTCTTAGGCATTTTTTTAATTGAAATATAATTTATTATACATATACATGGGGTACAGAGTTGAATATCAATACCTGTGTATAATGTGTAATGATCAAATCATGGTAATTAGCATATTCTTCATTACAAAATGTAATCATATTTGTGTCCATTAATCAATTTCTCGCTAGCTTCTCTGCCCTGAAAGCTAACACCTCTCTCCTTCTGAAAATTCAATGTATTATTGTTCGTTCGTTCTCCTTCCTTCCTTCCTTCCCCCCTCCCTTCCTTCCTCCCTCCCTCCCTCCCTCCCTTTCTCTTTCTTATTCATTTATTTACTTTTTCACTTCCACATATGAGTGAGGACATGCAGTATTTCCCTTTCTGTGCCTGGCTTATTTATTTATTTATTAATAGTTTAATTTTTATTTTATTATTTATTTATTTATTTATTGCAATGTAGTTGATTTTCATGGCTCTTTACCAATTCTACCCTTTCCCCCTCTCTCTTCCACTTCCATCAACATCATATCTGTTCATTTATTTTAACAAGTAAGAGGAATTATTGTTATTGTGTCTCCCCCCGCATTTGTTTGTATATTTATTTATTTATTTTTATTAGCTCCCACATATAAGTGAGAACATGTGGTATTTCTCTTTCTGTGGTGACTGGCTTATTTTATTTAACATAATTTTCTCCAAGCTCATCCATGCTTCTGTGAATGGCAGAATTTCATTTTTTTTTTATATATACACCACATTTTCCTTATCCAATCATCCGTTGATAGACATTTAGATTGGTTTCATATCTTGGCTATTGTAAATAGAGCTGTGATAAACATGACAGTGCAGGTATCCCTTTGACATGACGATTTTCATCCCTTTAGGTATATACCCATTAGTGGGATTGCTGGATCATATGGCAGATCTGTCTGTGTGTGTATATAACGGTGTATGTGGTCCCCTTTCTCCACATCTTAACCAGTATTTGTTATTCTCTTTTTGATGATAGCCAGTCTAACTAGGTTGAGATGATATCTGTGTGGTTTTGATTTGCATTTCTCTGATGATTAGTGATGTTGAGCATTTTTTCACGTACCTCTTGGCCATTTGTATGTCTTCTTTTGGGACATGTCTATTCAGCTCCTTTGACCATTTTTTAATAGGATTATTCATTGTTATTGTTTTTACTGTTAAGTTCTTTGAGTTTCTTGTATATTCTGGATAGTAATCCCTTGTCAAATATATAGTTTGCAGATATTTTCTCCCATTCTGTTGTCTTTTCACTCTGTTGATTGTTTCTTTGCTGTGCAGAAGCTTTGATATATTTCCATTTGTTTATTTTTTCTTTTGTTGCCTGTGCTGTGAGGCCATATTCATAAAGTTGTTCCAGTCCTACATCCTGAAGTGTTTGATCTATGCTGTTTTCTTCTAGGAGTTTTATAGTTTCAGGTCTTATATTTAAATCTTTAATCTATTTTGGGTTGATTTTTAGGCATATTTTTGTACTATGTTAACACATATATGAAGCCTGTCTGAACCAAGTACATATGTTGATGTATACACTCAGCATTTATTTACTTGGCTGTAGTAGTTGTGGAATTTTTATGGTTGTATGGATTGTAATTTTATATATTTTACTTAGAATTTTTTCTTAACCTCTTTTCTGAGTGTTGACTTATGGCAGTAGTGTTTTGTTTAAGGAAGAAGGTAGAAGTCATGTTGAAAGTATAGCCATCAGGACTAAATATGCAGGAATACACATGTTGCATGGTGAAAGTGAAGCGCCATCTTTTACTGCCACTCGGTATTGTCATGGATAGATCTTCTGGGTTTTTTTACTGCTTACATAGGCAGTAATATACCCACTAATAGGATTTGACTTATCTTTTAGGAACTTGGAATTTTGCCTTGAGTCGGTCTCATTTAAGTGGATAGGAATAGTAGAATATGGGCATAGGTGGCACTTATGACAAGAGGTTTTTTGCAACATTTTTGGTTTTATCGTATTTGTGCTTTTTGCAGGGTGGTATGTTAAAAGTAAAAGGCACTGTATCCAATATATAACCAAGTGAATATATTTTTCATTTGAAATATTATATTTAAAATTTTTACTAATTTGAAAATATTCATTTTTATAAAATTCCATGGAATTATGTATAGAAAAATGTAGCTCTCTTCAATTTTGTTTCACATCAAAATATCTGAGGATTTTCTAATGACACAGGAACATGGAGATTGCATTGTCTTCTCTATTAAATATAGGGAGTCCTTGCTTTTCACAACAGTGTGGTACCATAACAATGACCAGGCCTGCTGAAACATATGGAGTGATTTTAATAATCAGTGGGAAAAATTATTTTTATTTTGTGACCTTGAAAAATGTTTGTCAAAACATTAAAAACTTTCTTACTGTTTATTGTAGATGTGTAGGAAAATGAAAACAAATAAAACTAATATTTGGTACATTATAATTTAAGACATTAGAAATATTGAGAATTAAGTTTTATTTCTTTGTACAAAACTTATCAAAGGGTAATTTAAGCAGCGCTTTTCTTCTTTTGCTTATCATACAACTTACAATAGAAAACAAGCATCTTTTCTGTGCCTTGGCAAAATGTCATACGTCTCTATAAGTACTGATCAGTTTTCAACATTTTATCCTTTGCACTTTCAATGTCAGAAATATCTTTGAATTCCTTTTACTATGAAGTTTTTTGTCAGGATCGCTTCCTCTGGGACATCTTCATCTTCTTTGTCACAGCCATTTTTCTCTGTATGTGAATAAATTTATCTTCACTGAGTTCCTCTGGCTGTATATATCTAGAGTATTGAAAGGTGGAAGTATCAACATTTCCATGGTCAGCGGTTTCTTCTATAACTCCATTTACATTTACTTGAATTTCACTACTACTATTGTCATTTTTAGTTTCTTTGCTGCATTTTTATCTTAGTTTTCCAATTTCTTTTTTTGATTATTTATTTTTGTAAAATGTCATGAGGATTTATTGCTGGGTGACAAGCAGAGACACAACTAACTCCATACTTTGCTGTCTGAGTGTGAATTGAATAATAAATGTCCATTGACCACTCACTGACCGATTGTGAAAGTAGTGATGTGTTCAGTCAGTTATCATGATATACATCTGTTGTTTATGTAGTGATTTGTAGACTGAAGAGTTAGCAGCAAATTTGTACTTTATGCAATTATTCACAGTAAATTTTAGTTAAAAATTTTAATTGTGTTGTTGGGGGATGGTTGTTATTTAACTAAACAACAGTAACTGAACTTTATTCATATTGGAACTATCAAATCCAGACCCAGAACATTAATACCTACATATACTCCCTATTTAGGCTTAAAAGGTCTGAGCTAAACTTTCATTTCTATTTGCAATAGTCTACTTTCATATAAATAGAACTATATTTAATGTGTGTGTGTATATATGCACACACAGTATATGTATCTTCATATATATAATTAAGGAATATATAATTAGATTATATATAGAGTTTATATATAACCATATATAGTAGGTTGTATATAGAGATATAGATCATATATAAAAATTAGATTATAGTTATAGCCTACTTATTGACTTAGTAAATGCCATGTAATACTGCCACAGACTAGACCTTCATCTGATCTCACTTTCCTTTTTATATTCTGAGAGGTTCTTTGAGTGATTCTCTGAACTTAATTGCCTTTGGTCTAGCCAAACTTACGTTGTTTTTAATTTTTCTATCACACCAGCTCTGAGTGCTTCACATTCTTACAACTAACACATAGTTAGCTTTTATTTCTCAGATCTCCTGTAATTCTACCTTAAACTCTTATTTATTTGGAGGTCTTCACTACACTATGTTTTTCACAGTCATTAATTTCATACTTGTCTAGGTACCTTTTTTTTTTGTAGCATATTGTTCATTCTGCTAATTATTGTACATTGCTTTTGGGTTAATCTTAAATAAACACATGTAACTCTCCTACTAGAATATAAAGCCAGGGAAGTTATTAAACCATTTAGCATAGAGTCTGGCATATAGTAAGTCCTCATAAATATTAGTTTCCTTATCTTTTTGCTGTCTCCAATCAAAATAGTTACTCATATTAGAGATTTAATAAATATTTTAAAATTTTAATTGTAACTTTTGCTCTATTGTGCCTATGTACATGGATGAAGAGGGGAAAAATACCTTTTTACAGTTTTATTGAGGTTTATTATTATTAGTAGTAATTGTTTTATGGAAATTTGAGATATTTTTGGCTTTTATATTAAAGTTAACTATAATATTCTTACATGAAAATCTTCAGACAGCAGGAGGATTTGCCAAAATAATTTTTATATAGGATTTTAAGGGTTTTTTGTATATGTGTTTCTTGGTTTTTGTTTCAATTGCTGTTGCTCTCTGCTTTCAACTTGGCAAAGTATACCATGAGGAATAGTGAATAAAATTATATTAAATGTGAAGAAATTAGGTATATTGTTTATAGAGGGGGAGTAGATGGTTAGGGACGTACACTAGTTGATCTATAATTGACTCAATTCTGGTACCAAAGGGATGTACCATCAGATGGCAAGAAAATTGTTTTATCACTTCATTGGAATAATTTCTTCACATAAGAAGACTGATTTTGACTTTAGTTTATTTTAGACTAAGATCAAGAAGGCAGATGTGTAAGATCTAGCCTCCAACATTAAAAAGGGTTGGCCTAGTGAAAAAGCATATTCTACTGGATCTCTTGCTTAAAATTATTTAAATGGCTTATACCATATTTTACGTTGGAGATTATCTTGCCTATAAATGAACAGAAATGTGAGGTTCTGGGGAAAAGGAAGTAAACCCTTGTCTTTCTCTTTTCTTTTTTGTTTTTTGTTTTTTTTTTACATTTTTAGGCAAGGCCATGTGAATCTTCCTCCACTTGAGTTCAAACCAGCTTTAATGTTGGAAACCTTTAGCATCAGTGCTGTTGTAATGGAAAAGTCGGTGTGCACCCCTCAGAACTCTACCAGTGCCCTTTCTTTTCATGATCTCAACAAGCGTTATTATAACACTTTCCACTGCAACTTTACTATTTCCTGTCAGTCAATAAGCCAGCATGTAGATATGGCTTTGGTTCGTCTTATTCATCAGTTTAGTACAATGATAGATGACATCAAAGCAACGCAGACTGACATTAAACTTAGTAGATATACAGCTGGATCAGCATCCCCAACACCTACCTTCAAGAGCAGAAAACATAGGGATTTTCGCTCATCTGACTTTAGCCGCAGTTCAAGAGGAAGCCTTAATGGTGGCAGTAGAGTAAATAATGCAAAGAACAAAAGGACCAACAATGAGAATAACAAAAAGGAATCTCGAAACAAAAATTCATTAGGAAGATCTGAAAGAAGAACTTCTAAAGTGTCTAGGAAAGGTTCAAAAGATGTGGTAGATCACATGACTATTCATATGGATGACTCCGATTCAATTACAGTGTCAGAACAAAGTGAGCCTTCAGCTGAGTGCTGGCAAAACATGTATAAATTGCTTAACTTCTATTCGCTTATCTCTGATCCAACAGGAATATTGGAAAAATCTTCAGAAACCTTTGGACCAGCAGGTAACAGACATTTTTATGTTTTTGAAATTTCTGTTTAGAATAGCAATACAGTAGTCCTCCCTTGTCCTCAGGGGATACATTCCAAGACCCCTAGTGGATACCTGAAACTGTGCATATTAATAAACTTTATATATTCTATACACAAATTTCTTTTTCCTTCTTCACGATTTCATGGATAGAAGATTTGTTCTCACCATAGATTTTAGCAATCTCAGCATATGATTTTTTTTCTTTCCTTAAGTAGAGAATGTTCACTTTTTCAGTTAAAGGAAGTACTTTATGGCTTCTCTTTGGCATATTCAAATTGTTAGCATTACTACTCTTGCTCTTTGGGTCCATTATTAAGTAAAATTAAGGGTTACTTGAATACAAGCACTGCTATACCACATTAGTCAATGTGATAAGTGACAAAGGGGCAGGTAGGATAGCGTATACAGTATGCAGACTCCAGAAAAAGGGAGGAGTCATGTCCTGAGTGGGATGGAGGGGATGGCATGCAAGATTTTATTACACTGCTCAGAACAGTGTGCAATTTAAAACTTATGAATTGTTTTTTTCCTGTAATTTTCCATTTCACATTTTTGGACTGTGGTTGACTGCCGGTAACTAAAACCACAGAAAGCGAAAAACATGAATAAAGGGGGACTACTGTAATGCTATAAAGGATAGCAGCTTATTCATCACTTTTTAATGTTATAAGGGGATTATTGAAATGCAGAGAAATTAGCAATCACAAAGGAGAGAAAATGGTAATGACATTCACATATCCAGCCACCCCATTTCCCATCCTCCCCAACCCTTACACGGTATGCTCTCAAAGGATTCAAACAGACCTGATTTCAAATGTCATGTTCACTATTTACTTTCAGTAGGAACTTGGGAAAATGGTGAAAAAATTTTAAATCACTTTGGTGGAGAAGAGGTGGGGAGGATGGCTGGTTGGGAATGTGAAGGAAAGAAAGGTAAGATAATGTTTGAAATGTCCTTCCATTTTGCAGTTTTCATACCTAAAACTGTATATTTCCATTTACTTATAAGGAGTTCGGAGCCCTACAGAGCCAGCATGTAAAGTTGTGTTTGAGAATGAACAAGACAACAACAGTTCGTCTAAGACACAAAGGAAACGTAGCTTGGTAACCTCTGAACCTCAGCATGTTACTCTAATAGTGTTTGGGATTGGCATGGTGAATCGCACACACCTAGAGGCAGATATTGGTGGGCTGACAATGGAATCAGAACTGAAGAGGATCCATGGCAGTTTTACTCTTAAGGAAAAAATGAAAGGTATGACAGTTTTCTAATTCTACAGTGCTACTTTTCTGAAGAAAATCAATGCCATGTCTTCAAAACTCCTACTTGGCAATTTTTCTTTAGAAAGTGGGACTTCCCAAATTCTGAGCTAGAGTACCAAGAACTTGGAACGTAGTTGAAGATCAGTGAATTGAGGCAGCTTTGATATCTAATGAAAGTATTTAGACATAAATATTGAGCTAATGTACCTAAGGCCCCATGGCACTTATTCTTTGACTGTCTTTCAATGTCATCTAGTAAGATGTCTCTGATGGCTGAAAATTTCATCAAAATAACTAAATATGTCAAATATTTGGTTTTCTACTACTATAGAAATCTTATAATCCAGTTATTATTTTAGTATCTAAATAAAAAGAAATCCCTTTAATTGGTATGAAATTTCCCAGGTTAGCAAAAACATGACGTTCATCTTGAGAATGATCACACAAGATGTAGCATTTCATCAAATTTATGAGACCATCAATTTGAAGATGCATCATTATCTTATGTATCACAAAGAAAGGAAATAATGTTGCCAGATATGGTCAGATGTCATTGATTATAAAATGCATCTCAATTTCAGAGATGCCAAAATAAAAAAATAACTGCTTCTTAGAATCAATGAATACATCAGGATGAAACTGAAGTTGCAGGGATTGCCTTGCAGCAATAACTTTAATAATATCAGTGTCTCTTCTTTCTTCTTAGGAAAATAATCTGACAGATTATATTATATGAAAAAAGAAATTATGAATCACCATGTGTTTTTATTGACATCAGGATGAAACTGAAGTTGCAGGGATTGCCTTGCAGCAATAACTTTAATAATATCAGTTTCTCTTCTTTCTTCTTAGGAAAATAATCTGACAGATTATATTATATGAAAAAAGAAATTATGAATCACCATGTGTTTTTATTATTAACTTTATGATTGCCAAATATGTAAGGTCTAATCAAAAAGTTATTTTGAACCTACTTTGCATTATATACTCTTCTGTACTTGTTTTATTTTGTACCCTGAACATTTATTATTTACTCAAAAGCTAATTTTAAATTAAAAATTATTTGCTATTAAAGAAAATTCTCTGAAGAAATTAGATTATGAATTTCTAATAAAAATATGAAGACTGCAGCCCTCACTAGAAATATAAGCAAAGGACAAAAGCTCAAATGGCTAAGTTGACATAAAAAATTTGTTCAACCTCTTTAACAAAAAAAAAAGTTATGTTTTTTCATCTGTTGGTTTAGCAAAAATTAAGAATGACAATGTCCGGGCCGGCCCGGTGGCGCACTGAATAGTGCGCCGCTTGGGAAGCGCGGCGGCGCTCCCGTCCGAGGGTTCGGATCCCACATACAGACCGGCTCCCGCTCACTGGCTGAGCGAGGCGCGGGAGCAACACCGAGGCTTGCGATCCCGTTGCCGGTCCCCGGTCC